CAGCTGAAGGCAGCCCTCTTTAGGGAAGCTTTTAATGTTTAACAGACTACTGTATTTTAATACTTTGTTGAAAGCTGCCTAGAGCGGCTGGGGAAACCCAACCAGATAGGCGGGGTATAAATAATAAATTATTATTATTATTATTATTATTATTATTATTATTATTAGACCCAGACACACAAAGCATTAAAGAAAACAAAAACAAGACTCCTTACTCCCTGCTCCATTCCCCCTTTCTTCCAGCCCAGGGTGGCCCTGTCCCAGGGAGAGCCAGTGTGGTGTAGTGGTTAAGAGTGGTAGTCTTGCAATCTGCGGAACCGGGTTCGTGTCTCCACTCCTCCACATGCAGCTGCTGGGTGACCTTGGGCTAGTCACTTCTCTGAAGTCTCTCAGCCCCACTCACCTCACAGAGTGTTTGTTGTGGGGGAGGAAGGGAAAGGAGAATGTTAGCCGCTTTGAGACTCCTTAGGGTAGTGATAAAGCAGGATATCAAATCCAAACTCTTCTTCTTCTTCCTCTGCTTGCACCTCAGAGCTGACACATCACATGGGGCTGGGCCTCAGCTTCTGCAGCCTCTCCTCCTCACCTGCTCTCCAGTAGCAGCTGTGAGCTGCCCAAGGAAGGAGACCTGCAGTGGCGGCCATGGAGAGGCAACAGGATGATCCCTCACAGCCACCATCACTCGGGACAAGCACCGACTCATCCTCCTCCCTGAGCTCGGCACTGGCGGTACTGGCAGGGAAAACAGGGACTTTCCGGGATCTAATCAGAAGCAGGGATGCCTTTTGTAATTCCGGGACTGTCCCTGGAAAATTGGGACACTTGGAGGATCTGCTCACAAAGCTCCTGTTCTCAGAGTTTCCTGTGGGGAAGGATTGACTGCAAAACCACTGGCCATTACATCTCTGTTGGATCGCCATGAATGTTTAAAATGGTATGAGTGCTTTAAATGTATGATGTGAATGTGACCTGCGTCTGGCCTCTGAGCTCCTGAGCCCAATTACTCTGTACTCTAGCTGGCAGTAGTTTCTCTACCATCTCAGGCAAAGGTGTTTCCTTGTGCAGATATGAAAGCATGTTCCCTGGAGATTCCAGGGGTTTAACCTGGAACCTTAGACATGTACAGCATATGTTCCACTCCTGAGTTATGGCCCTGGTTTCTATAAGCTTTTGAAAAATATAAATTCCACTTTCCCAAGGTGAACAGATCCTGGCAACAATGTAAGTGACTCTGTGAAGAAGACAGGGCTTGGTAAATAGGACAACATGAGATTTAAGATGTATGGTTTCTGTGCACACACATGCACTAAAACACAGAGAACCACATGGAAGCCACTTACCTATGGTGTTCTCCAATATGTGAAATGTGTGCATGAGTTGGTGCTGTACTAAATCGGATATCTAAGATAATTGTTGCCCATCTGAAAATGACTGGCTTGTTCCTGCCTCTTTCTCGGGGCACCTGAGAAATTCTTTGGCATCTTCATTTAAGCTTCTGAATACCAGTTGCTGGAAACCTTAGGAGTAGAGAGTGCTGTTGTTCTAAGGTCCTGTTTACAGGTGTCCCATAGGCATATGGTTGGCCAATGTGAAAACAGGGTGCTAGCAGCTAGACTGATGACTGGGAGCGGCCGCCGGGACCATATAACACCAGTCCTAAAGGACATTAACTGGCTCCCAGTCTGTTCCACACACAGTTCAAAGTGTTGGCGCTGTCCTGTAAAGCCCTAAATGGCCACGGCCCAGTATACCCGAAGGAGGGCCTTCTGGCAGTTCTCTCATGGTGAGAAGTGGAATTACAGGGAACCAGGCAGAGGGCCTTCTCAGCAGTTGCACCCTCCCTTCAGATGTCAAGGAGATAAAGAACTACACAACTTTTAGAAGACATGTAAAGGCAGCCCTTTATCAGGAAGTTTTTAATGTTTGACATGTTATTATGTTTTTATATGTGCTGAAAACTGCCCAGAGTGGCTGGGGAATATAAGTTGTTGTTGTTGTTGTTGTTGTTGTTGTTGTTGCCATTAGTCTGATCCAGCAGGGGTCTTATTATGTTCACTAAGAGACCTGAGATATTGTTCCGTGAAACAAACATTGCTTCATTTACCTATGACTGTTGCCCGGGGTTTCTTGCAGCTCTCTGCTTAGATGGGAGCAGTACGGAAGAATCCAGGAATGCAACAGCAATAAAGCATGTAAAACAAAATGTGTGCCTGATCTGTATTCAAAGATTAGAAGAAAATAACTCAAGCATGAAGAGTATGCCCTGTGGGGAGGGCAGCTGGAGTCCATGCAACTTTTTTACCTTGGGTTATTTATTTGTAGGGCCAAATTATATAATCGGCGGGATCCAGGAGTAAAGCTTTTCCCAGAATGTACCAATTCAGGCTGCAGATGGAAAATCCTGTTTGAATGCTTTCTTATTTTTAGAAAAATCCTCCCTGAGTATACAAAATGATTCTGTCACTGGGATGTGCTGAGATTTGCTCTAAAATATTGCCTTTTATGTTCTTCTCCTCCACCCCCCTTTTTTTTCTTTTTTGGCAGAAGTTTTCTTTCCAGGGAAGTGTTAACAAACCTGCAGTTTCCTGACTACGGCATGTAATGGTGCTCACATCTCAATTTAAGTTGGCCCCATGCCAAGGGTGGCCCAAGGCATTTCGGCACCTGAGGCAAAATGCCCCACTGCTGCCCCCGCAGTGGGGGGGACATGAGGCTCTGCAAGGGATTCCCCTCAAGGAAAAGCCCTTGCCAAACCTCGGCCCCTGCTGGTGGAGGGATTCGGTCATGGTTTCTCCTTAAGGAGAAGTCTTTGCTGAATCTCTCCTTTCCTGCACAGTCGTGAGGGCTTTGCAAGGGCTTGAGAAGTAGGAAGAGATCTGCTGCACAATCTCCCCCAACAATGCCACCTCTGCCACTATGCCACTTACCTCTGGCACTGACATATTGGTAAAAACCTATTTGGTGTTTCGCAACTTTCTGACTAGTTGCAGGACCTTAGCCAGACCTAGCAGAGTAAACGCAGAATCCACGGAAGCAATTGGCGACTTGGCTGCAGACAGGATAGATGAAGCAGGAACCAGGAACTTGTAGTTAGGTGTTTATTATATACAGTGGACTATTTACAGGAACAGAACTCAGATCTCCAAACTCTGAACTAACACATTCCAGTTAGTAGGCCATTAATTATCACTCCCTTGAGAGAGCTTGACCAATCAGGGAGCCTCTGTTATCACCAGGCAGACTTACTCCTTCAGATTGCCTTCTGGCTGTCTGCCAAACCTTAATTGACTCTGTGTGAGTAGCTGCACATACAGTTTCCCAACATGAAGCTGCATCACCTGCCTCTGCCGGCACCACTGCCACACAGCTCGCTGCAGAGCCTTGGCACTGATTTCCAGCGCGACCTCCCAAGATCTCATCAAAATCTCACAAGATGTCTCTGTGAGATCTCATGAGCTCTTAGCAGATATCAGTGCTGATTCTAGCACCACTTCTTCAGTGGCAGTGGAGTAGGTGGGAGCCCATGGGGGCCTGAGGCAGCTGCTTCTCCATACCTCATCATTGGGCCAGCCCTCTCCTATACAGAGGGAAGACAAGATCACAACAGCGTGAGATGGTTGTATTAAAAATGCCTGTCCTTTTGCAGTTTATTAGGAACTCTTTCTACTCATCCTTTTTTCAAACAAAGCTTATTTCCTTCTGCTAATCCATAGCTTTAAATTGGCAAAAGTTCAGTGAAAAACTGAAATGGCTCAGCAAATCTAAACCTCGGTTTTATACTTTTCATTTGAAGTCATTACTTCAGCTACCATAAAACATAAAAGATTGCTTACTCACCTTTGTCATTATCATTATCATTATCATTACCATTATTATTAAAATTTGTATATCACCCTTCAGCCAAAGATAACAATATAAAAAGACAAAATGGACACTGTAGCAATAGTTATGAAAGGCACTCTTTCATTAAGTTCTGCAACAGGGATGAAAGCTTTGACAAGATTTGTCTTCAGACGGCATGAGTGGTATTCAACTACATTTTACACAAAATTGACCTACTAATATTTATGAAGGTAACTTATTTAGGTTCCTTAGTTTCAGTAGGTCTATTTGGAATGAGGCTTAGTTGAACACCGCCCTTATGTACTGCCTGTCAACAAAGAAAAGGAAGCAGACATTTAAATACAGGTGTGAGGAAGAATAGCGGGAGAAAGGTAAAAATTCATTAATACTCATATCAATAGTATTGTATTATATTACAATGTTCACTGCTTCAGGCAAGCAGCATCAGCATGAGGTCACAATGGCCAGCCTCTCTTCCCTTCAGACTGCCAGCATCAACAGCATTAGGTTATAAAGGCCAGTCTCTCTTCTTCATGCATGAAACATGAACATGAGGACACAAAGGCCATTCTCCTTCAGGCAGGCAGTATCAGCATGAGGTCACCATGGCTGGTCTCCCTTCTTTAGGCAGAAGGCACCAGAATAAGGTCACAATGGCCTGTCTGTTTCCTTCAGCACCAGCCTGTCACAATTACCAGTCTCTCTCTCTTAGGAAAGCATCAAAATGGTCTGACCTTCTGGTCAGCAACCTCAAAAGTAGCTCGCAATGAAGCGGGTGGTGCTGTGGTCTAAACCATTGAGCCTCTTGGGCTTGCCAATTAGAAGGTTGGCGGTTCGAATTCCCACGATGGAGTGAGCTCCCGTTGCTCGGTCCCTGCTCCTGCCAACCTAGAAGCTCGAAAGCATGCCAGTGCAAGTAGATAAATAGGTATCATTGCGATGGGAAAGTAAACGGTGTTTCCTTGCGCTCTGGCTTCCATTTTGCCAGAAGCGGTTTAGTCCTGCTGGCCACATGACCCAGAAAGCTGTCTGTGGACAAACGCCGGCTCCCTCAGCCTGAAAGCGAGATGAGCGCCACAACTCTATTGACTGGACCTTTGACTGGACTGGACTGGACTGGACATTTGACAACCTTTGACTGGACCTAACCGTCCAAGGGTCCTTTACCTTACCTTTTACCTTCACAAGTAGGTCACAATGGCCAGTCTCTCCTTCAAGCAGGCAGCTTCAGGATGAGGTCACAATGGCCAGTCTCTCCTTCAAGCAGGCAGCTTCAGGATGAGGTCACAATGGCCAGTCTCTCCTTCAAGGAGGCAGCTTCAGGATGAGGTCACAATGGTCAGTCTCTCTCCCTCCCTCCCTCAGGCAGTCAATTGGGCAGGTGGCATCAGCAAACAACAGTTTCTAACTGGGGCAGGCGGAAGCAGGAGCGTGTGGACACAGTTTGTTCTATTTCAGGTGAGCATAGCCTCTCATTCTCCTACTTGATTGTGCCTATCATTTGAGTCAGCAGCAGTGTGCAGTCAGAGCAGCTGTTGGCAAGGAGAAAGGGAAAGTTGACAGGCAGGTAGTACCCCAACCATTACCATAGTGTTCTTCAACCATGGGTCCATGGATGTTGTTGGACTACAACTTCCATCATCCCTGAACATTAGCTAATCTGGTTGGGGATTATGAGAGTTGAAGTCCAACATCAGGGTACACAAAGTGTGCACTTCCTCAAAAGTGCTTCAAGAAATTAATACATCCATTCAAGTTCTTTGACATAATGATGGGGGCTTGAGAAAAAGCAACTGACTTCATGTCGCAGTCATGAAAATTGTCAAGATTGACATTTTCTGGTTTTTCGTATAATCTGATGCGTTTCTCTCCCCGCCCCCAACTACAATTTAATCATTTGGCATTTATTCTCAGGGGAAGTGTAGATGTGGATCAAAAACAGTTTTTAAATTAATATTTGTAAATGCATTCATTGATTTTTGAACTCTCTGTTTTCTGTTTTAAAAAGAAAAGCTGGCTAGTGGTGTTCTTTTATCATATGATAGTTTCTTGTTTGATCTAGTTTTTGATATTTACCTGGAGCTCTTTTCATATTTTATTGATGTTTGCTACATTGAATAATCCTTGAACTCGAAAAGAAGAAGAAGAAGAAGAAGAAGAAGAAGAAGAAGAAGAAGAAGAAGAAAGAAGATTGGATTCATTTCAAATGTGGACACATTGCCTGTGCTTGGCAAAGTCCTTTGCTCCCCCTCGCCTTCTGAGGTAGTATTACAGGAAATGGGTGGGCCAAGCACGTTTCCTATACATCCATCTATCCGTATGTCATGGAAGTTGCTTGTAGTCTAGACAGAGACTAACGACAGAGAAAGATGACAGGCTGGGCATATATAGACCTCTCATTTCTGTTAACGCCCTTTAGCTCTGCCTGCATACATATCCAGAAGCTCATGGAGAGAGAGAGAGGCAGTGAATCCATGTTCTATGAATAGAGTGGTCTTATGTCCTACTCTGCAGAGGGCACTTCTCTGTTTTGAAGGACTCCTTTGAAGAGTCCTCCATTTGAAGGTGCCCTCTGTTAGGGCTGAGAAGAATTTTCTCCTTGAGCCATTTTGCGGCTCTATGTTCATATCGCCAAGGTTTATTGCCATTGGCTAATCTCAAAGCGGAAGATACCAAAAAGGATGTCCCCATCTGGCAAAACTCTCTTTGAGAACAGACTAAGGCTGATTCTTCATGGCAGAGGCTGCCTGGTCTGCTTTCACTTTAAAATCCCTGGAAGTTATTGATTATTGTCCCCTCCTTCCTTTTCATTTATCTTCATTTATAACAATTTAGAATGCCATTGTTATTATATGCGTAACTGGCATCTCCTGATAAAAATAGGTCAGATTGGAGGATTTTCAAATTTGCTGACTATTAACATTGGTTCAGGGAGTGCTGTGCATAATGGCTATAGTATATAAAATCAATAAATAATTACAGCATAATGGGCCTGCCTTTTTAATGGCTTAAATTATAAGCACGGGTTTGCAATGTGCACTCATGTCTTAAGGACAGTGGTCCCCCCCCCTCCTTCTGGCTCCAGCTGGGCCTTTGAAGGGCAAAAAGAGGGATGAATAATGTATCCCAATTTGGGAACTGTCATATGCAGCAAGCCACCAATGGCACATACCAGATGACCTCAAAGCTCTTGACTCTGTGATGAAGATGGGCCGTGGTGTCTCTAGGACTTGAAAGGCATCATGGTGCAATGGTTAAACAGGGCATACATTGGAAGGTTGGTGTCACACTCAGAAGCACTTCCTACTTCCCCATAGCTCATCAGATACAAGAAGCTAGTCCCTGAGTTCTTGTCATACTCTAGCATGGTGTGTCCAATTAACAGAACCCAGATAGAAATGAGCTTTGTTCTCAATAGCTCCCACTTACGGTAAGTTCTATGGAACAAGGTAAAAGAGTTCCAGTGTGGTCAATAGACTGAGGAGTAGAGTAAAACTTAAATACCCAACAGTCCAGGCCGTGAAGTCACCATAAGCATGGAGCAGATTTAGCCCTTCATAGGAATGGGGAATTGGTAGGTGTGGTGTTTGCCCATTCGTTTGAAAATGTCTGTACAGGGGAGAGAGAAAGGGTTAAAAATATAGACCAATAGGAAAGTCGGAGGCGGAGCCTACCCGTTTATAAAAGGGCTTAGCCCGAGGTTTGAGTGTGGGTGGTTGGTTGGTTTTAGTGGGTTGGTTGGTTGGGAAAGGCAGTTGGAAAAGCAGTTGGCAGGCAGTTGGAAATAGAGAGACAGTTAGTGCAATGGGTTCTTTTGTGAGGGGAGGTAGAAGAGATAGAGACAGGATAAAAGAAGATTAAGAAGGTAATGAGTAACGTTTGGAATGCAGTTAAAGTCTGCAATAAACTACACTCTTCTTTGTTAACTTGAGAACCTGACTGAGACTAAGTGATTTACCAGGGGGGACCTGGTTGGTGGCAGCGGATTAGTGGTGTATGGGTCAATAGTCCGTGAGATGACCGGGGGCTCCGTATGAATGCCACAGTAGGTATCCAGTTATTATAAGACTATAGTTTCCATTAACCATGACCATTGACTATGCTGGCTGAGGCTGATGGGAGTTGGATTCCAACAACATCTGGAGGATCACAGGTTACCCACTCTTAAGCCACACCACACTTGCATCAAACATTGAGTAGAACACCAGAGGGCCCATCACTACCACAGGGTTTTGGTAATATGACAAAGTTGCTTGTTTTAAACAGTTTTGGATTTTGCAAAGAAAAAAGAAAATAAATATATTCCTGCCCACCTCACATTCATCACAGGCAATTTGTTATTATCAGATAATGACATCTTTTAAGCAAAATAATAGTGTCTCACAGTCAGGCAGTAAGCAAGCCGCATAAGCAAACTGTTCATTATGAAGCTCTGCGGCTAGTATATTACATGAACAAAACACTGGAATTCTTCACTTCAGTCTGAAAAACACAAAATCCTCAGTGATCTGAGTGGGGCTGGAGTCCATGTGAAACATCTACCATATGTAACACGTGTCCCCCCCCCAACAATTAGCTAGGGAAATATAGCTATAGATATATACTCTGTGTGTGTGTGTGTGTGTGTGTGTAGTCAGTATACCATGCAGAATATAGGTGCAAAGTTGCTCAGGTTGGTATCATAGCAACAAAACCAATATTCTAGCACCCTAATTTGCATATATGGTGTGGGGGTGGAGTAGTCTCTATTCTTAGATTCAGATTTAGTAGATACCAGCAATTGATCATGTGTCAAGGGTGCTTCCAACCCTTTATTGTAAACAAAAAAAGAACACCATCACTTCTGCAGTTCTGGATACCTGCACACACTGTCCTAGCATCTAGGCAGCTACTCCCAGGTCCACAATCTATGGAGCAGTTGCAGCAACTGGGGACCACTCCCCCTCCACCAGTTTATGTACCTTCCCCTGACAGGCTGCATGCACCTAGCCAGAGACTATGCCTGTGTAGAAGCTACCCCTGCTCTTCCTGCTTCAGTTCTCTCCTGGTTCTGGGAGGCAGTGGTGCAGGAGAAGGTGGGGAAGCACCCAGCCTTTCACTTGCCTGTCCTGCCTCTTCCTCCAGTTCTGAAGCCCACCCCCCGCCTCTGATTCTCGCCTCCTGTCTTGTACAGGCCCCCACAAACCACAGTCCCCCTCTCCTGAGTCAGCCCACTTCCAGCAGTGCACACTCACAGCGTTCTGCCCGTCCCTGATGTCATGAAGGAAACAGGCTCTGTATGCATTTAAACCTTTCGTTACGCATTGGCATGTGTTGATTCATTTCAATATATGCAACTGTAAAGTTGCCAGGCCATATTCCCTCTCCTTTTCCATGAAATGCTTCCCTTACGCATCTCTAGCCATCGATCTCCTTGCAGTTGCAGTAATAGGGCATCCTATCCACAACAATTCCTGAGATGAAGTTACCATAAGGCATGGGTAGGCAAACTAAGGCCCAGGGGCTGGATCTGGCCCAATCACCTTCTAAATCTGGCCTGTGGGCGGTCCGGGAACCAGCATGTTTTTACATGAATAGAATGTGTCCTTTTATTTAAAATGCTTCTCTGGGTTATTTGTGGGGCATAGGAATTCATTCATTTTTTCCCTCCAAAATATAGTCCGGCCCCCCACAAAGTCTGAGGGACAGTGGACTGGCCCCCTGCTGAAAAAGTTTGCTGCCCCCTGCAAGGTGTTATGCCAAACAGGTAATAGTAGGAAACATGAGGGTGTGCACACAAGGCCTTCCTCAGTTTCCCCCTGCATGCCAGGCTCTGTGTTGAATTGAGAAGGTCCACAGGAAGCCCTTAAATGAGCTCATCTGGAAACAATTGGAAAATTCTGCCTGACCCTGGCCTATCTGAGTTCCTGGTTGTGTTGATGCTTCTAAGCATATCCATCTGAATACCTGGCACGGAGAATGCCAAAGATAGAGTGCCTGGGGGCTGATATCACCCCACATGCTGAACATTATCTTTTTTTTTAAAAAAAATGATATTTATTAAAGTTTCAAAGAAAAAATTACATAGATAAAAAGAAAAGAAAAAGAAATAAAAAAGAAAAAAATACAAAATACAGAAAAAAGATAAAAAACACTTTAAAAAAAAACACACATCGATCTTTCCATAACTTACATTTCATTTCCTTACTTCCCTGACTTCCTCACACCTCCCTTTTTTTGTATTCCAGTTCTATTAGTTAATTCAGCAATTCCTTTCCCTCTTTGTTTTTGTCTTAATCCTTTAACTTAACATATTATAACTTTAGATTCTCATCTGTTAACAATCCATTTGTACATACACCTTTATAACATTGCTGCTAAGACCACTTAATTTCATTCTGACATCATTCTAACATTCATTAATTTTGCAATATTTCTGTAAATAGTCTTTAAATTTCTTCCAATCTTCTTCCACCGACTCTTCTCCCTGGTCTCGGATTCTGCCAGTCATTTCCGCCAGTTCCATATAGTCCATCACCTTCATCTGCCATTCTTCCAGAGTGGGTAAATCTTGTGTCTTCCAATACTTTGCAATAAGTATTCTTGCTGCTGTTGTGGCATACATAAAGAAAATTCTGTCCTTCTTTGGCACCAATTGGCCGACCATGCCCAGGAGAAAAGCCTCTGGTTTCTTCAAGAAGGTATATTTATATACCTTTTTCATTTCATTATAGATCATCTCCCAGAAAGCCTTAATCCTTGGGCAAGTCCACCAAAGGTGAAAGAATGTACCTTCAGTCTCTTTACATTTCCAACATTTATTATCGGGCAAGTGATAGATTTTTGCAAGCTTGACTGGTGTCATGTACCACCTGTATATCATTTTCATAATATTCTCTCTTAAGGCATTACATGCCGTAACTTCATACCTGTGGTCCATAACTGTTCCCAGTCAGCCATCATTATGTTATGTCCAACATCTTGTGCCCACTTAATCATAGCAGATTTAACCGTTTCATCCTGAGTATTCCATTTCAACAGCAAGTTATACATCTTTGACAAAATCTTAGTTTTGGGTTCTAACAGTTCTGTTTCTAATTTTGATTTTTCCACCTGGAAGCCTATTTTCTTATCCAAATTGTATGCCTCCATTATCTGATAATAATGAAGCCAATCTCGCACTTTGTTTTTTAGTTTCTCAAAGCTCTGCAATTTCAGTCTATCTCCCTCTTGTTCCAGAATTTCCCAATATTTCGGCCATTTGGCCTCCATATTGAGCTTTTTCAGAGCTTTCGCTTCCATCGGTGACAGCCACCTTGGGGTTTTATTTTCCAGTAGGTCTTTATATCTTATCCAGACATTAAACAATGCTTTCCTGACAATATGATTTTTAAATGCTTTATGTGCTTTGACCTTATCATACCACAAATATGCATGCCATCCAAATACATTATTAAAACCTTCTAAGTCCAAAATGTCTGTGTTTTCAAGAAGCAGCCATTCTTTCAGCCAGCAAAAAGCTGCTGATTCATAATAAAGTTTAAGGTCTGGCAGGGCAAATCCACCTCTTTCCTTTGCATCCGTTAGTATTTTAAATTTTATTCTAGGCTTCTTGCCCTGCCAGACAAATCTAGAGATATCTCTCTGCCACCTCTTGAAGCAATCCATTTTGTCCAAAATTTGCAATGTTTGAAAGAGAAATAACATTCTAGGCAATACATTCATTTTTATCGCAGCAATACGGCCTAGCAGTGAAAGCTTCAAATTTGACCAAATTTCTAAGTCTTTTTTCACTTCAGCCCAGCATTTTTCATAATTGTCTTTAAATAGATTCCCAATTATTGCTGTCATGTTAATCCCCAGGTATTTCACTTTCTTAACCACTGTTAAACCTGTCTCATTCTGAAACCTCTCTTCTCAATCACAGTTAAGTTTTTCTCTAAGACCTTTGTTTTTAACTTATTCAATTTAAATCCTGCAACCTGACCAAATTCTTGAATCAGTTCCAAAACCCTTTTAGTACTAGATTCTGGCTCCTGCAATGTCAATACTAAGTCATCTGCAAATGCTCTCAATTTGTACTGTTTAGCTCCGACTTGTATACCTTTAACCAATTGGTCCCTTCTAATCATATTCAGCAGGACCTCCAGGACCGATATAAATAGCAATGGGGAGATTGGGCAACCTTGTCGTGTCCCTTTTTCTATCTTAAATTCCTCCGTCACCACGTTATTTACAATTAATTTAGCCTTTTGTTCTGAATAAATTGCACTTATACCGTTTTCAAAGCCTTGGCCTACCCCCATCCCCTGTAGGTTCTTCTTCATGAAACTCCAAGAAATATTGTCAAAGGCTTTCTCCGCGTCCACAAATATCAAAACTGCCTTGGTATTTATATTCACTTGTAGTTTTTCTAAAATATTGATTATGTTTCTCACATTGTCAGACAAATGTCTACCCGGAGAAAGCCTGCTTGATCTTTATGTATCTCTTCCATTAGGACTCTTTTTAGTCTTTTAGCCAAAATGTCTGCAAAGATTTTGTAATCCACATTGAGCAGTGATATGGGGCGGTAGTTCTTAAGCTGGGTCTTTTCAGTCTCTATTTTCGGTACAAGTGTAATATACGCTTCTTTCCACGACTCTGGTGCCCTTTTCCCACCCATTATTTCGTTACAGACTTCCTTTAAAGGTTGTACTAGCCATTCCTTCAAGGATCTGTAGTATCTAGAAGTCAGTCCATCCGGTCCTGGAGATTTACCTAGTTGCATATTCTGAATGGCACCTTCTACCTCCTGTTCAGTTATTTTATAGTTCAGCATTAATTTATTTTCTTGAGAGATTTTTTGTAATCCATTTGTTTTCAAAAATCGGTCTACATCAATTTCTTTCTGTGGCCCTTGTGTATATAGTTGTTTAAAATACCTCTGGAAACAATTTCTAATCTCAACTGGGTTCTGTATATTCCTTCCTTCCACTTCTAAATTTGTGACAGTATTTAGTTTTTGTCTTTTTTTCATTTGCCAAGCCAACAATTTCCCACATTTATTAGCCGACTCAAATGTCTTTTGTCTCATTTGTTTAATTTTCCATTCTATCTCCTGATTCATCATTTTCATGTATTGTACTTGATATAACTTTATTTCTCTCAAAATCTCTTGCGACTTTGGTTTTGCTCTCAATTTCTTTTCACTTTCCTTTATTTTCTCCAATATTTTATCCTTCTTCTCATTTTGGATTCTCTTCTTTAATGCATTCTGTTGTATCAAGAACCCTCTCATAACAGCTTTGCTTGCGTCCCAGATTACTCTTTTTTCAACATTGGTGTTCATATTTATCTCAAAATAGTCTCTCAAGGTTTTTTGGGCCTTCTTAATGACTTCTTCATCTCTAAATAAGGCATCATTCATCCTCCATCTGAAGGAGCCGGTTGGTGTTAGTTTCATCTCCATCTTAACAGCATTATGGTCGGAGCAGGTTTTTGGGCAGATTTCTGCTTTTCTTGTCTTTGGTGCCATTCCTCTAGTTAGCCATATTTGGTCAATTCTTGTCCATGTCAGTTTGGCTTCAGAAAAGAAGGTTCCCTCTCTGGCCAGGGGATTCTTTGTTCTCCAGATATCAACTAAGTCCAAGTTGTCTGTCATCTCAAAAAAGGTTTTCGGTAGTCTACCATCCTTAGTGACTACCTGTCTTTGTGCCTTGTCCATATGTGTAGATACCACTCCATTCATATCTCCCATCAAAATCACATTATAGTCCAAATAGTCCATCAAGGTCTCATGCAACTTTTTAAAGAATTCAGATTTCCCTCATTTGGTGCATAAACTCCTACTATTAAAAATTTCTCTCCTTGTATTTGAATTTCAATTGCCACAAATCTTCCTTGGTCATCTTTGAAGATAAATTTCGGTAATAGTCTCTCCTTTGCATAAATCACTACTCTTTTTTTAACTTTATCCGAAGAAATAAATTCCTGGCCCAGTCTTTTGTTGATCAATACTTTCCTGTGTAACCTTGTTACATGTGTTTCCTGTAAACAAATCAAGTCCAATTGTTCCTTTTTAATAAATGAAACACAGATTTCCTTTTCTGAGGGGAGTTGAGACCATTACAATTCCAGCTTAATAGTTGCAGAGCCATGATGTAGTTACTTTACTTCTCCTCCAACTGCACCAAGTGCCTGTTCCTGTTCTGTCGGTGGTATCACCTTCTCCAGGCGGTCTTTTAATTCAAAAGGTAGTCTTGGTATGTCTAAAGTTCCTCTTTCTAGTATTCTTGACTCTTCTCCAGCTTCTTTCTGCAGGTCTTCTCCGTGGTCTCTCAAAAATCTTTCTTTGTCGTCCTCTGATCTTATTTTTATCTTTCTTCCTTTGAAACTAAAGGAAAGGCCTTGGGGGAATTCCCACCTAAAGATGATTTTGTTGCTTCTCAGCAGGGCAACCAGATCTCTATAATTGGATCTAAGGTCCAAAAGATATTTCGGAATGTCCTTAAATATCTCCACCTTTGACTGATGTATTTCCAAAGTCTTCTGGAAGTGCAGACTCAAGATTTTGTCTCTCTCCTCTTTTGTTCGGAGGGTGATCAAACAGTCTCTCACCCTGTTCTTCTTCCCTCCTCTTCCAAGCCTGAAAGCGCTCACTATCTTAAAGTTGTCCTTCTCCAAGTCTGGATTCCAAAAGTCTGCAAATTCCTGGGTAAGGAAGTCAGTCAAGTTGTCTTTCTCAAGTTCAGGTACGGCCCTGATCCTCAAATTCATTTGTTTCTCCTTCAATTCAATCATAGACAATATTAACCTGTGGTCTTCAAGTTGCTTGTGTATCGGTGGTATCTTCTCTTCTACAGCAACTGCTATTTCCTTTGCTTCTTCAGCTGTCTTTCGGGTCGAAGTAGATTCCTGTAGCAATTTCTCAATGGTTTCTGTGTTAGTATTTACCTTCTGTCCCAAATTGTTAATACTTGTGGTATTTTGATCAATTTTAACTGATGCTTCAGCTACTTGTTTACTTATTTTTTCCAGAGATTCATTAATTTTACCTAGTGCCTGAGCTAAAGCATCTTCGGATGCCATTCCTTTGGGTTTAGATTGTACCAATGCAGCCCCTGTTGGTAAGCCAGAAGGGCCAGAAGGGCCAGATGTTGATGCTCTTTGCTGCAGCCCAACGTCTGGGCGAAATGATCTACCAGACCTCATTGTTTTTTCCTGAAGCAAATCTATTTTCTCTTTTTCTTTTGCCATAACACTCTAGATAAGGCCCAAGGTCAATCCCACGACCAGAATTTGTTTTGAAGTGGAAAATTCCCCTGGCCCAGTTATTATTGTAACTGTTTCAAACTTCCTCTAGGGGGACACAGTAGCAGTCCGAAGTTGTTACCTTAAAATAAATAACCTTTTTTCTTTTAATCCCCCCAGTTCACAAAATAGATGACAGTTTCAATTTTCAGTTATTTTCCAGTTACTTTGAAACCAGGAGAAGCCAGCCAGAAATATTGTATCCCACTTGTATCTCACTTGCAGAGTTAGCTGTCAGAAAGTACTTTCACCAATAGCGCATTTCACAGTACGGCATTCTTATTGTTCATTGGCAGCCCGTTCCCAGGGTTTAAGCGGTGGATTTTAGCTTCCTTTTCTCTCTTTTTGCAGGGAAATACAGTTCACACCTTTCCCCCCTCCTCTCCTGCAATCAAGGGGGGAAATCGCTTGTTTTGATGATAGAATTATAGTCCTTTTCAAGCGTCTTTCAAGGTTTTAGCTTACAAGTTCATTGCTTTACTCTATTTACAAAGAACGGAAGGCAGACTTCCTGTTTATGCCTCTCCGCTTCGGTATCAAATTACTTCTTTATTCTTTGTTCTCCTTTAATTCCCAAATTAGCCTACTCACGGATCGTTGTTTTGTAGCCAAATTGTCACAGGAAAAGGTAGCGCTCTCCGGTAACGGCTGTGCGGCTTCGCTCCACGGAAGAAGCAGTTGACTCACAGCACCGCGCCGCTTCCCTGCTTCACTCCGGAACCCGTAATCGGGCTCCTTTGCAAATTGGGGGGGGCGCAAAAGGTGCCCGCCGAGTCCCACGGTCACAGGCTTCACCCGCCTGTGATTTTAGAAGGGTCCCCGCTTCGCCGTAGTGGTACAGACCCGATTTCTGCAGAGCCGGTCCCCTCCGAGTCAGAGGGACTCCGCCATTACCGATGGCGCCACCCCGGAAGTCTTTTTAACAAGCAAACCAACCAATATGGTTGCTAATCACACAATCTGAATAATGACTAAAGACCCCTCAGACATCTTTTTTATTATTTTTGTGCATGGTTATATCTGCTCATGGGATGCGGGTGGCACTGTGGGTTAAACCACAGAGCCTAGGGCTTGCCGATCAGAAGGTCGGCGGTTCGAATCCCTGTGACGGGGTGAGCTCCCGTTGCTTGGTCCCTGCTCCTGCCCACCTAGCAGTTCGAAAGCACATCAAAGTGCAAGTAGATAAACAGGTACCACTCCAGTGGGAAGGTAAACGGCGTTTCCATGCACTGCTCTGGTTCGCCAGAAGCGGCTTAGTCATGCTGGCCACATGACCCGGAAGCTGTACGCCAGCTCCCTCGGCCAATAAAGTGAGATGAGCACTGCAACCCCAGAGTTGTCTGCAACTGGACCTAATGGTCAGGGGTACCTTTACCTTTACCTATATCTGCTCATGAGTGTATATGGGCAGTTATACATGATCTCATTTTTAATACTGTTTATATCTGCAAAAGTTTTGGGTCAGACACACTGCTTTGTTTCCAGATGGTGCTTGTTGCATAGCTTCCTGTTGAAAGCCTGTATTTTTTTGTGCCACAGATCTTACGGGGCAGAGGGGCTGTCCCACTTTCTTTGTGCTATAGTGCAAGAGTGCCCCTCCGGATGGCAGTAACATTGGGAAAGCATCACAGAACGACTAAGGAAGCAGAACACGGTGCGGGCAGTTCAGTATAAATCTGCCATCCATTCATCAAAGACATGTTACAGAATATGCCCACATAATAAACACCAGTCTGGAGTGGCCTGAGGGTAAGGTCATTTTGCATGCAAAACATACAGGTATGTCCTGCAATTCAGCTCCAGACCCTTCCCATGTGGCTTAAAGAAATTTTTAAATGGGGCTCTTCCACTCTGTAACCGCATTCAGAGATCCAGCAAGTAAACTATTAAATTGATATTCCCCAGGAAAACTCTGTCTGTCTTTCTGCCCCTTTTAATGGCTCTGTTTTACTGATGCATGTGTGTTTTGGAGTGACAATAACCTGCATAATACTCAGGCATTAGGTGAGAAAACATAAACACAACTCACACTGTTTTGTTTTGCTGAAAAGCTGGGATGGCTGCCAGGGATTGCTGGACTTTCTATTAAGTAGCACAGCAGAGTCTTGCCTAGTTATCAAATGGAAGTGGTCTGTTTCAAGGAGACATTTCTAGCTGTGCTTCCCTTGTGCTTCCTGTGTGACTGTGTGTGGAGGGGGTCTGCTCTCCAGCTTGGGAGTGCTGATTCCCCAAGTGGAGAAGCTTTAAAGAGTAAGATGTCTAACCCAGCCCTTTTAAACTGCTTTAAGATGGAGACATTAGATGGACTTAGGGCATGGGAACCTGTGGTCCTCCAGATGTTGGATTCCATCAGCTCCAGCCAGCGTGGCCTATGGTCAAGGGTGATAGATGCTGTAATCCAACAGCATTTGGAGTGTCACACACCTGCTGGCTCCACCCACTCACCAAGGCTTAATATGTGCCAAAAGGCACCAGAACTCAGGCTAGGAGTCATGTAATACTCAATAAAAACACTTGGAATACAGTGAAGAAAAAAATATCATCATCATGAATACTGTACAGCTAATTTAAAACATATGTACATCATTGCTCTTTGTTGTTCTTATTGATGTGATGTTTTTATGGAACAAAATTTGAATACACTATATCAATGCCAGCACTGAATCCTGGAATAGATGAAGAAAAGTAGGGGAACACTGCTGCCCTTTGACATTTTCCACCTGAGGCATCAGCCTTAGTCTGTCTTATGGTAGGGCTGGCTCACCACATCCAAATCTCTCCTTCTCACATTGGTAAGGATGGCAATGAGGCTTACTTCCAGGAAAGCATGCATAAAATTGCAGCCTTAATGCCTCCATGGAGGATTAAAGAGCCTCTAAAGAGTACATGGTGCTGTGAAATTAGCTTCATCTGCGCCCACCTTCCATGTTTTAATTACGTTTGTGAAATCTCAGCAACACATTTCAGAATTCTGCGGAATGTAAAGCAGTTTATGGCTAGCAGGTGTGTCTAGTTTGCATGCACCAGATAGTTGGTCTGTGAACAATTTGCCAACTCCATTTAGCAATTTTTTGATATTTAAATAACATGCTATCATCTTTGACTATCTGGGGAAACCCCGTGGAATCAGAAGACCTGGGAACACAATTGCAGGCAGGTCTGAAGAAAGAAAGCAGGAAGTGTCAGGGCTGGTGATCTGACAGCAAGCAGGAGCAAGCACTTCAACAGCAACCTGTACTTTAGCAACAGGTTGCAAGACAGAGTCAATAATTTCATAGGACCCTATAGTTGATAGCTGCGATATGACCCTGGCCATCTCTAGTAGTGGTTCTACAGCAAAGCAAGGAGGAGGGCAGTAATACTCTTACCCAGTAAGCTACCCACACTGATGCAGAAAATAAAGTACATTCATTCATTAGTAATTGGAGAAAGGCTATAGCTCAGTGGCAGAACACATACTTTGCATTAAAAAAGCTCATGTCCAATCCTTGGTCTTTCCAGGTAAGGCTTGAAGAGACCCCTGTTTGAAGCCCTGGAGGGTTTTTGCCACTCAGTGTCAACAATACTGAGATAGATGGAACAATGGGTTGACTAAGGCAGCTCCCTATTCCAGTGTGCATGGCATACTACAGAGCACAAGATGGCAAGTATCTGTCCTGAGGGAGCTTGCACAGAGACTAGGAGGTCAAATGGTCTCCCCATAGATTTGTTAACTGATAGTGGCTGAGGAATTTTGTATCTTACCTACTGGTGCCCAGCGAATGGTCTGCAAGTGTTTGGTACTATTGTGCTGATTCTTAACAGATTTATCCTGAGCAGGATCCTGACCATTAGGAGCACCTCATGAGTTGCATTGGGCTTTCCAAAGGAAATGATGGCTATAAAAAGTGTTTGATCTGTTTGCTTTTTAAGCATTGTGTTCTTATTTTTAACATACAAATGTGTTAGATGAACTTATTAACACAGTTAGCATGTTGACTTCTACTCATATACTATCAATTTTGTAAGCTGCTGGGTAGCCCAGCTTCGGGGTTTCACTCCCGAAATGAAAATAATTGAATTTCTCTCTTGACTACACAATGAGAAGAAGCTGGATAAATGAGTGCTGTGAAAACATGTTATCTAAGTACAGGGGGCTTTCAGATCCTGCAAAATGTACTCTCTTGCAAAAGTAATTGAAGGAAAATAAATTAGAAAAGCAGACAAGGGAGGCTTAGGCAATCTTAAGCAAAGTAATGATTCATATATTTAATGGACAAGCGCCTTGTTATGCTACTGTCAACAGTATATATGTGTACGTTCTAAAGCCACAAAGATGATCCATATAACTGGACAACATCACATCTAAAGAACAGCGTTGGTCAACATTAGTATTTTGACTATAATATTATAAATCTAGAAGCAAGTTCAATCCCGCCACATCACAAAATTGGCATCACCTATCTGTATGGAGCATATGCTTTTGAGTAATGTGAAGCAGAGCTAGCTGCAGGTGTGAAGGGCGGTTGGCTAAGGGACCTCTGGTGGGACTCATCCTACATCAGTGGCCTCCCTAGCAGGCTTACATGGTAGTTCTGGGCATAGCAGCACTTTGCTATGCACCAGCCACCATTTTAATTTCCAATAGTGCCCTCAAATGTGGCAACACTTTGAGCCTTGTGGGAAATCAAAAGGGCCACCATGATAATTTCCTACAGTGAGGTGGATTGATGCAATACCAGTGGCACTGCAGAAAATTAAAATAGTGGCTGGGCAGGCAGCACTGATTGGACAACTCAGGGCAAGACTTAGCAGTTGGTCTTGCTGGGACCTCAGCAGTTGTTTGATGACGATGCATGTTAATGTTGAGCCTAGTATGAGGCAAGTGGCAGAGCAGGCCTACCATGTAGCACAGTGAAGCATTGTGCTTCAGGCAGCATGGGGGGCATGAATAGATAAAAGAACGGACTGGTATCTGAATAACAGAGCACAAGGCTTTGTAACACATGGGCCCTACCATAAGACAGCCACCACTTGGGGCTCTGCTTCAGGCAGTAAAATATGTTGAGCTTTCTGAATGACCCCTCAATGAGAAGAACAGTAGAGGGTCATCGGCTTTCATAGAACATGCCTGAGATAGCAATACCACAAAAGGAAGCAGGAAGTCAACACCAGTGCCACTGTGCCTTTTCTTCGCAGCAGAATTGTGAGCAAAACGTCAAGTTCTACACAGGAAGACTCCATCCATTTGCCTTCCCTGCTCTGAGGACTTTCCAACTTTAAGGTCCAGGTAGTGCAATGAAGTAGGTCTCAAGCTACGACCATGAGAATTCTGGTCTGGAGCATTCCCTTCCTTTTTCTGTTTCAGGTGAGGACTTTGGTAATATGGTAAGGACAAAATTGTGTCTGTGTGTGTGTGTGTGTGTGTGTGTGTGTGTGTGTCCCACCCCCATTTCTTATTTTCACAAGAATTCATTTGGATACAGTTGCTTTTTTATGGATCTTCTCAATAGGTACCCATATAAATATTGGATGGTGCTGATGAGGAGGAGGATTAGCCCCCTTGGCTCAACACCCTGTGTGGAGAAACCTCCCACAGCACCCTAAATCTGGTACTGATCCCTTTTCACCCATAGGACAACTCAGCATTCCGTCAAACAAACAAACAAACAAACAAACAAACAGGGAGCAAACAGTTGCAAACACAAGAGAGACACAATCTGACAATCTTGGGGTTGGGTACACAGTACGTTTCCGAGCACAATTCAAAGTGTTGGTGCTGACCTTTAAAGCCCTAAATGGCCTCAGTCCAGTATACTGTACCTGAAGGAGCGTCTCCACCTCCATCGTTCTTCCTGGACACTGAAGTCCAGTGCTGAGGGCCTTCTGGCAGTTCCCTCACTGCGAGAAGCCAAGTTACAGGAAACCAGGCAGAGGACCTTCTCAGTAGTGGCACCCGCCTGTGGAACACCCTCTCACCAGATGTCAAAGAGAACAACTACTACCAGACTTTTAGAAAACATCTGAAGACAGCCCTGTTTAGGGAAGCTTTTAATGTTTGATGGACTACTGTATTTTAATATTTTGTTGGAAGCCGCCCAGAGTTGCTGGGGAACCCAGCCAGATGGGCGGGGTATAAATTATTATTATTATTATTATTTGCACAAATGAACATCGTCTGCCAAGAAAAGCTGAGTTCAGTGACCTGCCAAAATTAAGCAAAGGTGCATATATTTCCTATATACATGCCACAAAGAGTAAGAACAGCAACAACCTTTGCAGAGCAGTTAAGCGCCCCTCCCTACATGTGATTCCCCTCTGGCTTCAGAGATTTCTCCAGGCACACTTTAAAGCAGGGGATGGTGCCACTGGGCAGAAAGTATCTGATGGTTCATTAATGAACTATTGGAAAATTTTGCTGGAACACTTCCAAGGATGTTGGACTAGGAAGATCTTGATTTCATCCAACCCGTAAGGCACTTCTTAAGCAAAAGACCAAACTGAGGTTCACTTAACATAAATTAGTTATGACTTAACTATTAAGAGATCTGGGTTAGGTACTCTTGCTTTATACATTTAAAACTCTCAGGGATTTGGGTGAAAGAAAGAAAAGTAGACCCCAAAAGACTTGAGTCCACCCACCTAACATTAAAGCCTACCTTCAATGTAAACTTGCTTTTC